TATTCTATTCTATTCTATTCTATTCTATTCTATTCTATTCTATTCTATTCTATTCTATTCTATTCTATTCTATTCTATTCTATTCTATTCTGCTATAAAACAGATACAAGTGGTAAAATGTGCTTTTTGTATGTCAGATGTTCCATTCCGTTTCTTCCTATTTTCCGTGCTTGAAAAGTTTTGAGTAACTGTGTGCAAACCTCCAGGCATACACAACTCTCGAGCACCAGGCAGGGAACATAGAAATTTGGGCAAGCTTAGATCTGATCTCCTGCAGATAGATTGAGGGATCTGCAATGATCTGGCTAGCCTTGGGTACTAGCTGCAGGAGGGAAGGAGAATGGAAGTCCAGGTTCAGGTGGAAGGAGCTGCATAGTGCTTGGACTTCCACCTGGGATTTCCCTGCTACATGGAGACTTTGTACAGCTTAGTCCTTCACCTCAGGGCAGAGAAGAGCAGCTCACACTGAGAGAGCAACAAGAGAAACACATTTCCATCCCATGTTCTATTTGTGTGCAGAGTTTGGCACCCACTGCAGCCCACAGCCTTCGGGCTCTTACCTTCGTGGTTGTAAAGGTGGTTGAACCAGAACTCCAAGGACCGGATACTGCAGGGATGGAAAATTAGCAGGGTGAGAACGAAACAGTGAAAATCTCTGAAAATTTCAGCCCATTCATCCTTGCTGTTGTGCCTCAAGAAGCGTGGCTGGAAAAGGGCATTTACAAAGCATGAGCTCGTGAACCTCAGAAAGGTCAGTGGCTCAGCCCCATCAGCATGCCCTGATCACAGACACCCAGCCTGACACCGAACTTCAAACACAGCTTTACAATGCAACTGTAACCCCAGACAACCATGTTTGCGGCAAGATTCCTCACTATTTCTGCTCCTGTGTCCTTGACAGAGCTTTGTTTTGCTGAGAAGAGGCTGCTGTGGAAGAGGCAAATGATCTACAAAACGAGACCAGTGCTGATGGCTCAGCCCAAAATATGCCAGTGTACTGTGCCAGTGGTGGAGAGCTGGGTCACCCTGTGCGTGAGAGCAGGGAAGAGCTTTTTTCCTGCCTGGAGGAGTTCTACAACATCTGGAGGTCTTGGGAACTCTGTTGCCACTGCCAGGGCTCTTGCTGACCACCAGAGAGGAGCAGGGAAACACCATCCTAGCAGTGTTTATCCCTTCACCCACAAAAACATATCGCTGCCTTCCTCTGTTAAACACAGCAGAATGTGCATGCTCCTTATCCAAACTAGAAGGGCCAGTCTGGAGTCCTGGACCAGGGCAGTTTCTCCTTCAGAGCCTCATGCCTTGGGATCCACTGCAGCTCCAGGAACAGTGCTTTAAAGAGGAATTTCCAAGAGTAATTAATGCATATATTATGTCTAACCTCATATGAAACTGGACAGGCAGAGTTTTCTCACCTCATGTTTTGGGGCTAAAACAGACTGACCCTGTTCTTCAGTTGCTACAGCCACTCATTCTTAGTCCTGACCTGGAAGGAGTTCCCTGAGGCTTACAGCTTCTCCCTTCCCTTGCCTAATTCTGGGCAAGGCTTCCCATATTCCTGAGTTCCTTTCATGGTCAACTGTTCGTGCCTGCAGTCAAGGACCAACAGGTGCTGCCAGCCCTGGACAGGGACATGCAGCCACCCCAGGGGTCCTGCTTACTTGAGGAGGCCGAAGATGAACGCGTTGAACCTCATGGTGTGGTTGGTGAGCTCTGTGTACTGACTGATCTTGCTGTAGAGGCTGTGCAGCAACTTTGTAGAGGGGCCTATGGAGAGAAGCAAATTGTTGAGATTAGTTGTGGTGAGAAAAGCCAAAACTGCCCACAGGATGGAGCAGCAAGGCAAGACAGATGTTGTCTGGGTGTCCATGTCTGTGTGCATTGCCTCTCCACCATGCCACGTGAGCTCACTCCATACCAGCACTTAGACTACACATGGGAGATGGGCTGTGATCCATCCCAGACCACCACTCCAAAACTCTGGGACAGTTTCCTAACCACAAGGACCTGCCTCCCACACTCCAGTGACAATCACAGCCATTGGCTTAAAATCAGCATGTAAAGAGAATATTGTAGTGTGTGCCTATAATTTGGGGTGTCCACAATCACAGAGATAACCACAGAGCTGAAGATTTGCCATAATCAGGCAATGAGGCTTCCCAGTATGACACAGAAACCAATGTGGAATGAATTCTGTCGATGTTTTTTTCCCCTTTTTTTATTGGTTTGGCCTGTTAGGGGAGAATTTACAAATTTCAGGGGAAATGACAATAAATACTTGGGCAGAATAGCCGAGTGTCTCTCTCTTCTTGCTAGAGATGGTCAATGTGCACCCTGTTGCAGGCAGGAAAACGGGTGTTTTGCACTCCCATCCTCAGAGCCAACCTCCCCCAGCACCTCAGAACCACAACTACCACAGGCACTGCTGCACAACATCCATACCTAGCTGGGTGGATGCCTCCACCACGCTCCAGGGGATGTTCCTCCTCTGGCCAATGATCATGTCCAGGACGTAAGCCTTGAGCCCATCACTCAGGATGTCCCGGACAGCGGGGCACAGGTATTTCAGGATGAGATGCCCCACATTGGGGCTCACAGAGCTGTTCCCAAGTTTGGCCTAATGGACAACAGGCAGCAGGGAGAGTGTTGGTAAGTGTTTTCAAGGTACACATGCATGCAAACAGTTCAGCCCCACTTGCCTACTACAAACACCCAGCAAACAACATCCAGGGTCTTTGCTTTCACTCCTGATGCTTCATATACCAGTTCTGGATTGCTCTCTGCAAGCTCTTGCCCAGGTTAGGAAGAGGCAGTAACTTTAAAAAAGACTATCCTAGCTTGGGGAGAGGATACCCAATTAGAAAGGATGCCTGGTTCTCCCAAAAGGGATAACAAGGCTCTCCTTCTGGAGGAAGAAAAGAGTTGGGGATATTCCTGCTGCTGTAGATTTTTTTGTGGCTAATTTTGGAGCAGGAAGCACCAAGCCACATAGAACTACCAGTAGTGAGCAGTTAAGGTACACTTAATTCAGTGACATGTAAACATCTAACTCCTAGGGATTACTAGAAATAAAAGAAGAGGGCAAAATCAATGGCCAGAGCTCAGACTGAGATGAAGAGGAAGTATGTAAGGGCCCAGCACCAGCAGAGCAGGGACACATTATTCTGCTTACAGTCTTTGAGCTGCCAACGGGTCTATCCAAATGGGTCAGGCAATGGTGTTCAGGGCATAGATTTTACCAGCTGAGCTGGAATTATACTGACCAGTTGGCACCGGTTCACAAAAGCCCTGAACTGAAACTGAACTTGGCTCAGGAATAATCCTGCCAGATCCACTGAGCACGGCAGCAGCAGGGATGGATGCTGCCTTTTGACAGGTGAATGCTCAGCCCCTGGCACATTGATGCATAAAGAAATCCAAGGTTAAAAACACAGCATTGGCCGATAAGCAAAGTAATGGGAGAATGCTGTAATTATTCCCCAAACCTATACTGCAAGAATTGGAAATTCACAGTGAAGTCCTAAAAAGCCATGGGAAACTCAACAGCTCCAGTTTTGTTGCACTGCAATCTCTGCATCAGCAACAGCTGTAATTGGGGGAAAATTACGCTGGGCTCTGAGATAAGACTGAATGGTTTTGGAATCTGTCCCAGTCAGGTTTCTCCTTGGGGACAGCATGCCAGGGGAGTTGTCATGTCCAAATAGTGTCACATTGCTGCCCAAAGTCACCTGACTGAAGCTGAGCATTCAGCATTGAGAGGAGGCACCACAAACACGCTGGCTGTCACAGGACTGCAAACAATGCCTAGTGCAAACAGAAGCAAAATTGCTCTGCTTCTATATTATTCCAGAAATGGGGGATGAAGGAGCACAGGCCAAATATAGCCAGCCCCAGGGCAACCTAGATGCACTTCTGCATTATTCCAGAAATGGGAAATGAGGGGAGCACAGGCCTAAGGCAGCCAGCCCCTTAGATGTACTCTAAATACTCTAATGTATTCATGGTTAGGGCTACAATGGAGGTGACCAATTGCCGCAGATGGGCGAAGTCTGATGCACTTTTTTATCATTACTACGCCATGTGAGATGCTGAGGGATGGGGAACACTACACTGTGCCTTGGCACCAGTGCCAGGCCAGAGTCATGGGACATATGGAGGAGGGAGACATATCTCTCCACTGTGTGAGAAAGAAGAGATGGTGTGCTGCATCGGACCAGAAGGGCAGCGGCCTGGTGCTCTTTCTTACAAAGAGCTGCAAGTAAGTAAGAAAGAGTTAAGCCACAACAAACACACATAATGCTTGCCCTTTATACTTTCACAGCCTTTCAACTCAGAGACTAAGCTGAACATTACTTCTGTGTGTTTAGTAAACATCAGTGAATTTCCCTTTAGTATGTTTTTCTGATCTTCCTTTAAATACATGTACTTACTGCATCATGCGGCAGGAATCGTCACAGATATACTATCTGCTGCATGGTGTGCCACCACCTTTGTTTGATTTATCCTTGGTACTTCTGCCTTTGTTAGATAACCTATAGTTTTTGACTAGAAGAGAATGGAGAGGCAATCTTGCTCTGCACTCTCTATGTCACTCAGAATGGAGTTGGATGCAAGACATACCTTCACCCCTGGATCCCTGCTGGTTCCAAAGTGAGCCACAATCAGGTCAACAGCAGTGTTGATAGCCTTCACCAGATCTGGAGAAAAACAAGAGGTCAAGGAGCTGCCTGAGGGGCTGCTGGGACAGACTCTGACAAAACACTCCTTAAAGTAAACAGCCAGGGGCACTGCAAGCCAGGTCTACACACAAGCCCTCTCTGCCAAAAAACATGCAGAGACTCTCCTAAATCTTCACCAAAACTCTCCCTGCTGGTTCCAGCACTCACCTATCAGCCTGCCAGTAGAACAACCTGTCAGTATTCCCAAGGGACAGGGACCATCACCTCACACCCCATTCCCTGAGGCAGCAGAGATGGAAGCTGAGGCAATGTGTCTTTTGCTGCCTTGACGACACAGGGTGGCAGGGGAGCAGCTGCATTTGGCAGGTTCTGTCATGACTTTCAGTAACAAGCCAGTGGTGTGTAATCTGCCATCTGCACCAGGATAATGTGAGAACAGAATTGAAACAGAAGGGAAAGCTGCCACCTGGTAATCATGAGCACATAGCTGGCAAAGACATGGGGACCTTTCTGCACATCTCTTGCTTCTGAGATGGTAACAGCTGTCAAATCCTGCCACCCTGCCTGTAGCATGGATCCCACCACAGCCATTTCTTGTCCTGCTCTGGAGTCCTTTTTCCCACCTTTTTATGTAATTTATACAATTTTATATTGCTTATGTAGGACTGAACAGACTTTTTACCTAAATTACAAAATCTCAGGTGAGCACATGCAATGTGCTGTTACACAGGTACACATGGGTCTGCCTTTGTAAATAGAGCCTGGGGTGGCAGCATGCCCTGCCTTAGGGTAACACTCCTGTGCCTGTCTGCTCTCTTTGCCCATTCTCATGCACCCTAAGATCCTTTCTAATAATATTTCCTGGGGCAAGCAGCTCAAGCACACTCCAAGGTCCACCAGAGATGCATGTACTCACCCTTCTTCTGCAGCAAGTCAATGGAGATGGACTCTGTGTTGCCATCTGGGGAGAGGCAGAACTCAGCAGGCGGTTTCTCTGCTAGCGAGAAGTAGTCAGGGAAAAAGTCATTGTAGGTAAGCTGGAGTTGCCTCATAGACTGTCCTGCAGTGACAAGACAGAGGGGACACGGATCAGCTTCAAACCCACACACCAAAGCCTCTTCCATGTTTGCTTTTCCCAGAAGCAACCTGCACCAGCAGCAGTCTTCATGCCAGCCTGTCCTCTGCTGGGACAGCAAGGCTACAGGCTTGCTGCTACCCCAGCAGTGGTTTGTAATGTGTACCTGTACAGCTGATCCCCATGGCCTACCCAATATCCACCTCCAGACTGACTGGGGGCCCATGGCCTCTGGAAGATGCTGTGGGAGGTTCACTCTAATGGGTTGGGTCTAAGAGAAGCCTTGCTGCTCCAGACTACCCATGCTGCTGCAAGCAGGGTCAGAAGTAAGCACAGAGAAAATCATTATTTGTCACACACAGGCATCCACAGACAACAAACTGCATGTTTACTGCCTCTTCTCTGGGATGGCCTCTGTTTTCAAGGGGTGACATCCATAGGAATTCTCCCATGTGCTTGGCTTTCATCTGTTTGACTCTGTGCTATGCATTTTCCCTTGAACAAAGACAGAGAAACTGTTTGGGTTGGCAGAGTGAGGTATAAGGCTTTGAGGAATTCCCTCCATGGCTTGAGGCTAGCCTGTAGAATGCTCTTCCTCCCACAGACAGACCAGACTGCTCTCCCCATAGGAGTCTTGGAGGCTCAGTCAACAGTAGCCTGCCCCTGTCAGCCCTTCCTGCACAGGTTTTGGAGGACAAGGAAGACCTTAAGAAGGACAGAGTCCTGTGAAGGTGTTTAGTGTTGTCAGTTGTGTCACGGAATCTACAGCTCAGCACCCAGCACACTGTCTGGGCTGGGGCACATGGTCAGGTAGCGTGGGGCACAGACGTGAGATCTCCAAGGGCCCCAACTCCTGTGTGAGACAAACTACAAGCAACCCACAGTCCAGGAGCACTTACTGAGGTCTAAGTGGGCTCTTGGTCCATTCATTTTGCCTTTCAACCCAGATCAGAGCTGGACGTGACTCCTCTCACCTCACAGGGACGGAAGGCTCCACAAAGATCTGAACCAGTGAAGCAATTTTCACCTTCCTCTTGGACCTTCCAGCCCCACTGTGAGTAGATGTATCATCCCTCCTGCTCTGACCAGGCACAGCAGTGATGAATCCAAGCTTAACCTGAGCCTCAAGGAAGCTGAACCTGAGCCCCAAGGTGACCTCCCAAGACCCCCCCGCAGAAAGGCAGTGCGCACCGTTCAGCTTGCAGTGGAAATGGCTGGTGCTGAGAGCGCCAGGGAACTCAAAGATGGGGTTGCCCCGGTTCAGCCGAGGCTCTTGCTGCCTTCTGTCCAGGCTGCCCGCTAAGCTGGGCAGCCCTGAAACGCGGTCCAGACCCAGGGGGTTCCTCCGCCTGTACTCCCGCCACTTCAGCGCTTGGGGGGAGAGGTGATTCGCTGGGAGTGAGCACCGGACAGGACAAGAGCACACGGGAGGATGCGGAAGGGAAACGGGGAGGGAGAGGAAGAGAAAGATGGAAGACAGAGAAAGAGAGACAGCACATTACTCAGAGGTCCAGCAGCATTTCAGGACATCAGCACATACACATGGGGACAGGTGGAAGTCACTGCCTGGCAAAGCAGGGCAGGAGCTTGGGTGCCCTTGTGGCTGCAGGTACAGAGGCAACAGGTTTGGGTGCAAGCACCTGACAGGGGGTGCTGTAAGATCAGCAGCCCACACTGCTCTCTCTGGAGACACAGTGTAGGAGTTGGGACTGGAGGGACATGCTCTTAGTGCAGGTCTTCCTGCAGCATCCAGATGCAATTTTATCCTGGTCTGTGGCTATAGGAAATGGTGGCACTATAGGGAGCAGCCATAGCTAAAGGGAGCTGTAGATGCTCCAGACTAGCAGGTCCTGGAGGATGGGTACCTACCATTGACAGGCCGTATTCCCATGCTGCTCAGGGGACCAGAGCTGCTGGTCTCACTGCCACTTCTCCAGTGTGAATCTGCATGGCCTCCTACTCTGCTCATGGACATGGCACCCATCGAGAGGGGCGGGAGGGATCCACTGTGGAGTCGGTATTCAGAGAGTGGAGGGCTTGGCTCCAGCGGAGCCTCCTTCTTGGGAATCAGCTTGGGGTTCTCCTTTTGCCTCAGGGTGTCAGCTTTGGTGGCTTTGGAGAGCTGCATGGCACTGACAGCAGGGGACGACCTTGTGGGAAGCAGGTTAGCAGAGATGGGGCAGGACCTGCTTCTGGGGGGCTGGCAGTCTTCAGCTCTCTCCGCGGTGGGCGAGGAAGAGGAGTCCACGCTTTGGAAGAAAGGCACGTTGCATCGCACAGGGGAGTAACTGCCCAGCGGGGATGGACGGGTTGTTTCGGGGCCGGGCTTCTTGACGGCCCCATCCCCACGTGAGGCAGCTCCGTCCGCTGAGCGCTGCGTCACGAGCGTGCCATGGCCTTGGCTCCCCACCACCACTGCCTGCTCTGCCGAGGTGGCCAAGGACTGGGAACTGGAGATCTGCTGGCTGGCAGACCGGTTGCTGGACAAGCTGTAGAGCTGGGAAAGGCTGGAGGCAAAATGGCTGTGCAGGGCACGTGCCTTGGGTGGCTTGCTGAAATGGTGCTGGAAAACAAAGGGCTGGATGGGCAGAGTCGTGGGACGCTGGTCCTTGCTGTAGCGTACCACAGGCTTGCTGTCTGTGCCACTACCTTCAGGGAGAGAAAGGGGAAGAAAGTTTTAAGGATGGGCAGTGCAACAATCATCCTCAGCCAAGCAGAACACAGGCAAAAGGGAACATGCTCTCTGTTGCAGGAGGGAGAGGATAAGCTAGAGGCCAGTTACAGAGTGGTTCAGGTCTGAACTGGTTACACACATCAAGAGCTGGTAAGATAAAAGATAAGTGGCACCAAGAGCAGAGTTTCCAGCTGTCTGGTAGAGCAGAGCATGGCACCAGGATCTTGTCTGTCCTGGTAGGGTCGCCAGCCTTATATCCTTTCTCAATCTCTTGTCCTCTGGACTGCACAAAGCCATGAGGTCAGGTGCCTACCCTTGAGCTGCCTCTGCCCAAGCAGTACCACAAAGTCAAGGTCCAACACTTTGTGGTGCAGTCAGATTTCTCATCCCAAAGGACTGTCCCCTCCACAAGCACTACAGACTCACACAGCCCAGCACAAGCATTACATGCAATAGCACTGCAGCTCTGCATCCCACATTGCAATATATCGGTGCTGTTGCAATGGCTGCCTGCTTCCCTTTCTCCCTCCCTCTTCTTTTCCCTGACACTGTCCCCACTTTGGAACATAGAGCTTCCTTCATCCCCCTGCCTCTACCAGACCTAAACAGACATTCTCAATATCCCACCTCCAACCTTGGAAAGTGCCAGTCTGCTCCAGCAAATGATGTACTTGATTAAACCAAGACAGACATCCTGAGTGAGTGTGGTGGGCTGATCTACATATGTACATGCCTTCAGCTCCTGACGGGGCCACAAATATCCTGAGGGACACATCTGAAGTGTGACACTGTGCATTCAGTGCAAAATACACACAGCACTGGGTGCATACGTAGGGCTGACTGAAATCCTGATCAGCCCTGGTGTTACCTGCTTCCTGTGGGGTGTTCCAGACTTTTCCTCCTGCAGCCAGCTTTTAGCAGGGCTTGCTTTTCCTCTACCCCCTCTCAGAGCCTCTAGGTTTGCAGGCTGCTCTGGGCTGGAGCAAAGCAGATATGCCTCCATCTCCAGCTGCAGGCAGAAGCTTCCAGCACAGCCCTGATGCCTGCCTTGCTGTCACAGTGCAGTAGGAGGGACCCTATCATAGTAGTGGGCAGCAACTGCTGGGATATATTACCCTGAAAGCTCCTGTCTGCCCCCTCCTCCCTGAGCAGGGCCTGCTCCTTCCAAGCCTTCCCTCTGAAGCTAAGAGGGCTGCTGCCATGCTGCTCTCTCCCAGCAGAGACCTGCCTTCACTGCCTTCCCACACCAAGCACGCATTCAAGGCTCAATAAACAAACAGGACAATAACTAAAAAACTATTGGTCCCAAGGCCAAAATCTCTCCCATCCCTGCCACAGCAATAAACCACACATTCTTACCTCCTGCCAGAAATTTTCAGAACATTAAGTGGAGACAGTCTGTTTAGGCATCACAATTTTTTTACATAGTAGTTTTGCATATTTATTGCAGTGGCCTGGTTAGAGGCATTTTACCTTTTTTACTACTCCAAAAGTAATGTCACACAGCTTCCTCATGAGGACAAGTGACAGCAATATCAAGGTGGAAAACAACTCACATATTACAGGCTTCCCTACAGAGGTAACTGTGACAGTGGCTCTCCCTGGAAATTTTTGCTGCAATTCACAGCACTGTGGACGACATGACCAGGATATTCCAGCAGAGATACAGAGATTACACCCTGCAGGACTCACACCGTTAAGTCCGAGCAGAAACTGTGAGAGCTTCCTGGACCTGCATGGAAAGGAGACTTCTGGCTATGCCTCTTTCCTTTCCACCTCTGCCACATAATTCCAAAGAAGAAAGGCTGTGACTATGACTCTGCTGAGCATCTTCACATCTCTGCCTTAGGAGCTAAGGGCAGATGATTCTCATGGACAAGCCCAGTAAATACCCTGGAAGGGATACAACCCTTCAAGCTGCACAGACTCTCTCAGTATTAATGCCATGTCCTTGCTAAAATGACATGAGAGGTTTGAACAAAACCTCAGGAGGCTTTAAAAATACAAGGAGAAGACACTCGTGCTGATGTGAGAACAAAAGGCTTTTGTGACAAACCACAGCAAAGCTCTGTCCCAGGGACTGGCAGACCAGGAACCAAACTGCCCCAGCACTGTCTCTTATCACCATGCACGTTTCCCTGCTGTTCCCCTCATATCCCAATGAGCTGCCTTCCTTTTTTCTTCTCCCTAGTTTGGCTCCTTACCGTCTGCTCGAGCTCTAACATCTTTTTGTCCATGGCCACTGGCAGAGCCACTCGAGAAGCTGGCATCTGCCTCCGTCAGCAGGGAGAGAGAGGCTTGCTCACCTGCCCCATGCCCACTGGGGACCTTCTCACTGGAGACCGAGTCCTTGGTGGAACACAAAGCCTGGCTGTCCCCAAAAGCATGATTCAAACAGAAGCCCTCGCAGCTCCGGTTCAGGCCATGGATGAAGGGCATAGGTGGAAGACTCTGGCTGCGCCGAGCTCGTTCTTCAAGGAAGGCTGGGCAATCCCGCTGAGTCTCAGGGATAGGAGAGAACTCCAGGGAAGAATCACCACTAGAGCGGAACGGTGGAGAGGTGCCGTTCTTTTTCCGTCCTTTAGCCAGTTCAGCAAACGATGTCACCCTCTTGGGGGGAGAGCTCTGAATGGGTATTGCTGGACTTTCACTCAGCTTGACTGGACAGCTCACCATGCGCTCCAAGGAGCCCAGCCTGCTGCCAGGACTCCTGTCCAGGTTCTGATCATAGCTCCTGGAGCGCTGCCGGCTTGTGTTGAGGTTTGGAGGTGACACATTGACATAGACCTGACCCTCAATCATGTTCTGGCTGGATTCTCCCTTTGGCTCCTCCTCGCTGCACTCTACAGTGCCTTCTTCTTGTCTCAGGTCAGGCCTTCTGAACAGATAGTATTCTGTGGGCTGGGCTGGGCTACCCTTGGTCTGGTCCTCTGAGCAGCTAGTTATGGAAGATCCCGCAGGGCTGGGGGATGACTGGGAAGACAAGTCACATGTGACTAACTTATAGTAATTCTGAGTAGCCACAACAAGCCGCGCCTGGCTCTGGAAGCAAGCAGTGAGGTCTGAGCTCTCTGACGTGCAAGGCTCACAGTGGAGATGGTAGGAGTTGCAGTTAGCATCAAGGACAGGTGAGGAGGAGTGTTGACACCCACACACCTTCCCTGAATTTTCTGGGTTATGCGACTCACAAGACATCTTGGATTCAGTGGGCGATGAATGTAAATCCAGGTAAAAAGCTCCTGTGTCTGAATGGCTGCAGAAGGAAGAGTCACATGACAGATTAGCTGAATTCAGGTTGGATTGAGACTGACCATTCATTTTGTTGTAGAGAGCACTGAAGCTCACCAGGACCCCATCAGAACTGTTGCAGGAAGAGTCACTGATGTAGCCCATCTGTTGGTCAATCACTTCAGACTGACTTGATGAACTGTAGCAGCGACAGTGCTGGATCTCTGAGCTGGAACAACTGCATGTCCTGTGCAGGGCATCCTGATTCCTCAGCGGTTCACCTGCGTTCTGGTTCCACTCCTGGTCACCACTGTCAAAGGAGAAGTTGGAGGAGCTGCCACGATGGCAGCTGCATTCATCCAGCTCCATGCGCTCCGAGGCCTGGTGGCACCTGTTGGCATTGTTCCTCTTCTGGATGTCGTCACTACTGAGCTTGTCCTCTTGCCCGTCCACCACACCAGACCGGCTGGCCATGTTCCAGGATTTCACAATGTGGTTGGAGTCATGAAGGTGGAAAGGAGGCAAGGCCAGATCCTGCAGATTGAAGGGAGGCTTGCCATCGATGAGTGAGTTGTGAAGGTGGAAAGATTTCTGACCCAAGTCATCCCCAAAAATACTGAGGTCTTCACCCTCATTCAGCAGGAAGGGGTTGTGTCGCTTACTGACACTGGGGACAATCAGATCCCTTGCTTTTCTTTCTTTGTTGTCTGAGGCCTCTGCCGAGGTTTCAGAGGCCTGGAGAAAGCTGCTGTACACCAAGGAGTCAGTCTGTGAGAGGTCTCTGTCTGGAAGGGCAGAGGTCCGTGTAATGCTGAGCTCTGGCTGGCAGAAGGGGTTGGTCCTTTTGCTCACGGAGCAGCACTGTCTATCGGGGACCTGGCAATGCACCAGGGGAATGTGATGGACAATCAGCGTCTCACCAGTCAGTTTGGGTGGACTATCCATGGTGAGCAATACTCTTCAGGGCATCAGTGAAGCTGGTACCACCCATGAACAGGAAGGGCTGCACATGAGAGGCAGGGAGGACACTTCTCATGAGGGGATTCAGATACCTACAAAGAGACAAAATCACAAAGGGAGTCACCTCTCGGGAAAGGCAGTGACTATTTAAAGCATCCTTGGTTTGACTGAAGATTTCATGTGTTGACAAGGATCAGACGGACTGGTTCCTTGTCAGCACAAGTACCCGAGCACGAGATCCTTCTTCTGGGCAACAAACCATCACAATGCAAAACAAACACGTCACTCTCCATGCAGGCTCCTGGGACAACACTTGTGATTCCACCTGACCCCTCTCAAAGTTATCTGAAGAGAGTAACTGATTTCAGTCAAGTGGCCAAAGGGCTGTACAGGACTTGGGCCAAACAAAGACTTCACTGCAGATGGCACTGTATGCTCAAAGGAAAACAGTCTGAGGTGAAGCACTGCACTTGGGTGAGAGCAGTTTATCCTCTCACACTGGATAGAACATCTTTGCTTCCTTTTAGATATGTTGAACTTTCCTTCAAGAGCCAAACAAGTCAAGGTCTTTGCAACAGACACACACACACACACACACACACACACACACACACACACACACATCCAGGAAGAGACTGGAAAGCAGGAGCAGACTGGAACAGAAAACCACCAACAGTAATTCCTCTCCAAAATCCAGGAGACCCCATGAGGTCCTGAGCCCTTTTAATGGTACCAGGAGAACATGTCAAAGTATGCAACTACTTATGTACAAAAGGATCTCTACAGTGATCTCTCAGTTCAAACTGGTCCCCACTGTGGTCTGGGAGGGGATCATATCTTTCTGTCATGTTATCTGTGGCATTTACCTGTTTATTACCTGCTGCACTTCACAACAGTGTGACTACCACAGTCCCAGGAGCCATACAAGCAGGGCACTGCGCAGGCAGGGCACTAAGAACCCCACTCTCCCTGTGTTCAGTAAATAGCAGGTTCTTACAGAGCCAGAAGAGTAACAAAATGGTTTGGGCTGAAGGGACCTTAAAGAACATCTTGTTCCGATCCTCCTGCCATGTGCAGGGACACCTTCCCTAGAACCAGGTTGCTCAAAGCCCCATCCAACCTGGCCTTGAGCACTCTCAGGGATGGGGCATCAACAATTTATCTGAGTAATCCATTTCAGTGCCTTTCCACCCTCACAGTAAAGAATTTTTTCCTAATACCTAATCTAAACACACCATATTTCAGTTTAAAGCTTTTCCCCCTTGTCCCATCACTCTCTGCTTGTGTCAAAAGTCTCTCTTCATCTTTCTTGTAGATGTTCACCAGCATTTGACACGAGAGAGCAAAGGACAAACCCGTTTCTCCTTCCTCACCTAACTCAGAGGTCCAGCCTACAAGCATCTCTAGCGCAAGTCTGGAGGGATTTTCCTCTTGCCTTCCCTTCTACAGATCAGATAATCCAACACAGACAAGTGCATGGGCAGGCAGCAGCTAAGGCAGCAAGGAGAGGGAGAAACCACAAAAGAAAGCAGTGATCCAGGATGAGTCTGAGAGAGGAAAAAATAACCTAATGCTCTCATAGATCTACCACTTGTTCTGAAAACCTTGGCCCAAGCACCCTTGGTCAGCATTATACATCCCATAACTCTTCCAGGCATCCTCAGTGATCACTGCACCCTGAAAACTCCATCTTGGGATCCTGCTCTGGACTCCAGGTCCCCCACCACTGACCTTCAGACTCCTGAAAGTGGTATTCACAGTGGCTTTTGCCTACCTTACCCCAGCATTTGTGGCTGTGGGGTGATAATGGATTTGGTGCAGACATTGCAAAGGCATATGGGAGCACAGGAGAGAAAGTGAGAAATGTGGGTTAAATGAAGTTAGAACAAGAGTGTGAGCAATTACATAGCTACACAGAAACATCAGGAACTTCACTTCTTTCAGCCTCAATGTGTAAGAATAGCAATTAGGAGATGATAAAAATGATCAAAAGAAGTACCTTCCTCCCACGCACAGTAGTGCTTCTCACAGACACAGGATGATGCTGGCAGGAATAAAAATACAAAGATGGAAACAGAGCTAATGTTTGCAGTAAACACCCAATAATGCAGAAGTTAATGCTAACACCAGTGTCAGAGAACAGACAGACCTTCTGGTAGATGCTAGCAGAGACTTACATGGCTGGGACACTCACCTATATGTCTGTTTCTCCTGGGATGTTTCATTCAGGTTTAGTCTCTGAAGAAGAGAGATCACCTGGGCCACTTAGACCAGGTGGTGGACATCCAACTGGACTATTAACTGTGCAACCCTAAACTCTCCCTCACCTCTAGTCTCCCTGAAACTTCTATCAGCCTTTATACCCCTTTCAGCGACTTCTCTGTTTTATAAGCCTTTGGCTCCTTTCCCACAGCTGCTGCCACAGAGGCTGATCGCTCCTCAGCCCAGATCCTGGAGGGCAGATTTTCTTCATCAAGAATTCCTAAGATCCCATTGCTCAAGAGCCACTGTGGATAACAGCAGTTCTTGACCCTGAGCCTAGAGCACACACACACATATGCACTCTTGGTGGAGTGGTGTTTGTGCTACAGTTTAAACCTTGTGCACCACTGATGGCACAGCAGGAGCTCTGAGTTTGTCTGAGTTTATTCCTATTGAACTCAGCAGAAGTCTTCCCACCTTCCTACCCCCATCTCACAAGCATTTTGGGTAAAAAGCTGGTCCCCCAGTGCCTCTCTACTCGTGTAGCCCACCCCACCTCTGTTACTGCTCTTATATCTGACTGTAATGCTCAGATCACATCCCTCCACCAGGCTTTGCTGTATTTCAAGTGCTGCCACAATGCAACGACCCGAAAAGCATAATTTTGAGGATACAGTCAATGATGGCAGCACACTTCACTGCTGAAGCACCAGGTCTCTGCTGCCTCTGGGAAATGGCTGCTTGGAGCAGGCTCCCAGCACCAGCACCCATCTGCTGAGCAGCACACAATCCACGTCAGCACAGAAGCTGCTGTGGGAGGACAAGCCTTGCTCAGACACACTTTGACATTTGACGGCAAAATGTCAGAGCTGACACGCAGCCATCTCCCATCTGTCTCTCGGTGCTCTGGCTGCCACACACGGCTCTGCCCAGCTCTCTGGCTCCAGCAGCAGCACAGGCTCCCCGGCTGGGCTGTGATTCACTGGCCACCAGAGATGCTGCAGCAGACGATGCCCATGCTGCCTGCACCCATGACTGCTCCCAGCACCAAGCTGAGGTGCAGGATCACAACTGACATGCAGACAGCTCCTGCCGGGAGACATTCTGATGGCTTCTCTAGGGACAGGCATGACATTTTGTGTCGTAGCTACTGCTTTTCTCTCCCTTGCAACCTCTTCTGGCTTCCTCCGGACTTAGAGGTGCAGGGAGGTTGGCAATGGCACTGCCAGACAAGGATTATTCAATTCCCAGTGCCAGAGCATCCTCCCTGGCTGCATCTTTAGCTGACCCGTCCTTATTCTGGAAGGCTGTAGAAGTATCCTTCTTCTTCCTACTCGGGGTCTGGTACACTGGGATTGACATCGGGAAATAAAATGCAGCAAGCAGACCAGTTTCAGATTTTGCTCGTTTTGATCAGCTCTTTGTAAAGCCCTCACTCCCCTTTTGCAATAGAAAATTTCCAGATGTCGATAGGCAGCTCATACCGGAACATTTTTTGCCAAATCAGTTCATTCTTATTACCGTTGGGCTGAATCCTGCTCAATGCTACACACACAAGAGCAAACACAGCATCCAGCATCGATTCCTGCCTAGAACAGCGTGTAATGGCAGTGCAAGGCAGGGAGGCATGCAGGGAGCACCACGGCTCCAGACACGCCTGTACATCAGCCATTTTATTCTCAAATGTCAGAATTCCTGCCTTCTCTATACTGACACTATCTGCTGCAACATGGCAGACATGGGTTGTTTATTCAGGGAGCTCCTCCTTGAGGTGCTAAGGGTTACCCAGAGAAGGTGAGGGCCACACTGTGGATACTTCATTCCAAACAGGACAATACAGAGCAGGAAGAATGGCTTTTTGTGAGACACCTGCATTTGGAATGGAATTGCACATGAATGACTGTACCCCTGTGGAAATAAATATACACAACAAAAACTCCTTAACTGCAGCAAAGCCCTAGGCAATAAGCAGGTGAGTGCTCAGCAACAAAGGATGGTTCAGCACTGATCTGAGAGCCACCTATCAGGTCACGTCTGAGCTTTAGAGAGGAGGCAGCATGCTGCAGGTAACAGGAGCGTTCAGAATCCTTTGGCCCTGCACTCCATGCCTTTTAAGTCCTTGCTGACCACTACACAGAGGCCCTCAAATCCCTCTCCTGTCACACTCCTACGACTGAGGACACTGTGCTAATTCAAAGTTGGTTGGTGCAGCTTCATGGCTCCTCAGCCTCAGGTACCAACTCCTGCCTCTGCAACACTGCTGAGAAGATGCAGAAGGCACCAGACCTGGCTGCAATTGCCTCCAAGGGCTAATGAGTTATGTGTGGTGGCTGCATACCTGCAGGCATACTCTGGTATTTGTTATGGCTCCAACCATTATTTTGGAGTTCTAGAGGTGAACCCGTAGTACCCCACTCTGCTCAGGGCTGTCCCCTACACACACATGGGGCAACAGGATTCAGCTCACAGTAACACAGGCTTCCTCATAAAATGTAATGCAGAGATAAGAGATAAATGTGATTTTAATGAAAAAAGACTGCACATAGAGCACAGAGGATGAGGAAGCAGGCGCAACATCATCAGAACTGTCAGCTGGAGGCGATGCTGGCTTTTTGGAGGATGGCTTTTCTGAACAGATTATTGTTTCTACAAACCTCACTCACTTCATCCATGAAATTGAGTGTCCAAAGGAAACCTTTAACTGTGAGAGCAATAGCTGACTCCTTGTGTATGGCTATGGTTTCACTGTCATCATCACCTTCCTCAGACAGACCAAAATTCCTCACGTCATTCAAGAGTAAAATATGCAAAAACAGGGTTAAAAGCTATGCATTCAGTTTCAGAGAAGAAGCAGAAAAATTCTTTTGTATTAGAGCTGCTTGTTCTTTGA